AGGTTGGCGTTCAGCCAATCGAAATATTGGCAAATAAATCATCGATTCAATCCAATATATGTATTTTTATTATCTAATGATTTGAATATAGATTGCTCTATTTTCAGAAAATGCTTTATATATGTATCAAAAGAGGCACAACTCTCCCTCGCTTTATTTATATTGCAACAAACAATTTATTAATTTTATTATTTTTATTAACAGAGTGGTCATTTTTATGTTTTACTAGCCGAATGACCCGGGCAACGCCCGTGTTTTACCCGATTGAATGTTTTTATTCAAATACTATTTGTTACAATTATAAATTGGCGCCTTATATAAATGTATATATTAGTTAATAACTATAGCCTATGTGCTTTATCTGTCTATGTACTGTTGGCTTCCGTAGGCGTCTCTTACTGGGAAAAAGAAAGAGAAGATTCCATTTAGTTATTAACTAATATATGCATTTATTTAAGGAGCGACCCGCTCCAACACAATAGTTACAAAAACCAAAAAGCGAGTGGGGGGTGCATGATGGGGGGGGGGTTGGGCAAAGGTGGCGTGATCTTAGCCAACCAATAGGAGAGCGCCATTCCAAAAAAAAAAAGCAAACGGTGACAGAGATGAAGAATTATTAAGAACGCATGACGCTCGTAACTGTATGTTTTATAGTTTGCTACTCTGTAAATTTCCCTCGTGGTTTATCTTTTGTTTACCATTCATAGTTTGTTCTTCCCTGAAATAAATTGTTGTCTCATCCCGAAGTTGGTCTTCCCTAATTTTCTACGTGGCAATATACACAATGGGCCAGTTACTAAACAGACAAGATCCAGACCAGACTTGGGTCAACTACCTAGGAGGTTGTCACCTGTTTTTCCATGACTAGTTTCCTCTTAGTCTCCGGTTGTCTCTCGTTTTACCGCTTCAATACATGCTACAAAACATCCTCTCAACAATACCACATGCCCACTTTACATTAACACTAACAATAACTCTGAAAGATACACTCATGGACAAAACTTGAAAAAGGAAGTTGTAGCTTTTAGCATGTATATCGTGATTCAGACAATAACTCTGAAAGATACACTCATGGACAAAACTTGAAAAAGGAAGTTGTAGCTTTTAGCATGTATATCGGGATTCAGACAATAACTCTGAAAGATACACTCATGGACAAAACTTGAAAAAGGAAGTTGTACCTTTTAGCATGTATATCGGGATTCAGACAATAAATCTGAAAGATATTAAAGTGACCTTTATGGAAGACACACGACATAACCAAGTGTGAACAAAATTGCTTCCATCTCCTTGAAAAAAAAAATAAAACAGACAACCGGCGACATCAAAGACTTTCACCTTTTTTTAGCTTTGTCCACGAGTGTATAAAACTCGAATTTAAATGTTCTGACATGAATTAAGGGAGCAGTAGGTCCATAATAAACTGGCCCTTGGCTCTCATTACCGTTTTGCAAGCCAAAAAAGCCGATCTTTGAGTTTTCTTTAAAAATAAAGGATATATTTTAAAAATTTATATATTAAAAATAAAAGAGGCCTATCCTCATATGCTCCTATGCTCATATGGGAATTTCTATATGGCAGAGTGCCATCTAGTGGAACAAAAATAAACTAAACGTTTATTTAACTTGCTCCGTGATATTTGGCCAACCCAATTTCTTTATAAATCAAGAAAAGTCAACCACGAACGCGTTTCGGTCTATTGGCCCTCGTCAACGTGGTGTAGACCGTACCTCTACGGAACGGAAATATCTTTATTTACGGGGCTTCTACCCAAAATAAAATTATTTTTGAGCCCCAATGGCTGCGTAAAGCGGAATATATACAAAGCACTATGTCCAAGCTGGGAAGGCTAGGGACAGAATCTCAGTCAGGGAAGAGGCAGGTTAGGCCGGATTGGGTCCGCGGAGGTCAGGAGGCAGGAAGAGAGGACTAGAACTTTGCAGCTCTAACTCTTAGCAGTTGGGCAAGACACTGATCTTGAAAAAAAAAAACTCTAAATTCCAAAATATAGTGTACCTTTAAGACCAAAATTTGGTCTTAGAAGCTTCTTCAAAAATAAAGAAAAGGGTATTCAAGGTATTTTTTTGTGTATATACGCTTTTCATATGGAAAAACAATTTAAAATATAAAAAGGTCAGGTGTTGATATTTAAAAGAAAAAAAAGTGTCATATCTTGACCAGTCTCATATGAGCATTTCTAGATGGCAGAGCGCCATCTAGTGGAGCAAAAATAAACTAAACGTTTATTTAACTTGCTCCATGATATTTGACCAACTCAAATTTTTTGAAAAATCAAGAAAAGTCAACCACGAACGTGTTTCGGGATGTTGGCCCTCGTCACCTGACATTTTAAATATTTTTTATTGTTTTTCACACACACCGTGTGTCCAATGAAGAGCCTCAGATGTCTCCATACATCTCTATCACAGCAAGGTTCTCTATCTTGGGTGTGTAGGATAGTTAATTACCACAGACACGGTTAAAATATGGTTAAGTTCCACCAAAGTAGGGTGGATGTGCCTTAACCGTATATGTGTTGGGTCCGAGGACCATTCCATCCTTGTCAAGGGGAGTGCTAACTGTATATGTGTTGGGTCCGAAGACCATTCCATCCTTGTCAAGGGGAGTGCTAACTGTATATGTGTTGGGTCCGAGGACCATTCCATCCTTGTCAAGGGGAGGGCTAACTGTATATGTGTTGGGTCCGAAGACCATTCCATCCTTGTCAAGGGGAGTGCTAACTGTATATGTGTTGGGTCCGAGGACCATTCCATCCTTGTCAAGGGGAGTGCTAACTGTATATGTGTTGGGTCCGAGGACCATTCCATCCTTGTCAAGGGGAGTGCTAACTGTATATGTGTTGGGTCCGAGGACCATTCCATCCTTGTCAAGGGGAGTGCTAACTGTATATGTGTTGGGTCCGAGGACCATTCCATCCTTGTCAAGGGGAGTGCTAACTGTATATGTGTTGGGTCCGAGGACCATTCCATCCTTGTCAAGGGGAGTGATAACCGTCTCTCCTTTTTTTCAACACACCGTGTGGCCCAATTTTAGGGAGCCTCTCCTCGCGCGACTTTCACCTAAACACAAGACTATTCTTGCTAAGTTCCTCGACACTGGCATCTAGCATGCTCGGGACTGCGATTCCATTATTGGCGAGGGATTGTCCGAACTCTGGGTGGCCTTAAGCTCCTGATGAAATCCAGACATCCCCTCAGTGAGGGCTCCGCCTGATGTAAATATGTAAATATGTTAAATATGTAAAAATGTAAATATTTATTTATCATTATATTTTATCACCTGCTCTTATAACTCTTTGTGAGTGTAAACGTTGACGAGATGTCAATAAAGTTGTTTAATTGTCATTTGTCACACACACACACATATATATATATAAAATTCGAATTCGTTAAATATTAACAATGGGAAATAGAAATAATTTGTGATACAGTTTTATTTACAGTTTGGTATAGGTATGGAAACCTCCAGAGAGAGTCCAGTTAGATTGAGTTATTTCATGTCTTGAACACCTTATCTTGATATCAGAACAACCTATTAGAGTCCTATAAATTGTTGTCACACAACAGCTATCTTATATTTGACTTGTTTAAACTCACTGTATTCAGCACCGAAGTTATGGAATTTAACTTCACAGCTGTTCAATCGATATTGAATTATATACAACAACAAAGCCTTTATATTACGATGCACTAGCGCGCCATCTGTTATCAAATTACGAAACTATTTTAGACGCGTAATATTCTTTTTAAAATAAAACAATTTCTACTGCCCTTACTGCAATGGAAAAATTAATGGGAGGGCCTGGCTCATCAGTGGTGAACCCTCCCAGCGGTTTCGCCAGTTTAATCTACCATACCGCTGTTATATTGCATTTTTGGAACTTCCTTTTATAGTTATACTGATGCTTGACTCTTCGAATGGGTATTTTAGATGAACTATGGACATAAGCTTTTAGGACACCAGAATTACATATAATTATAAATGTATAATATGCTTCGAGAATTACGCGTCTAAAATAGTTTCGTAATTTGATAACAAAGCCTTTATTTAGGGCCTCTCGCCCTATACAGGATTCGCCAGTTCACAAGGGATGGGGATATGTGGCCTTTTTTCCGGGATATAATCCTGTGGAATATCGCCACCGCTATATACTTATGCTTTGATATTTCATTAATTAGTGCCGGAAATGAAGGACAAAGTTGCCCCGTTTTATCATTTAGTTTTCGTCTTTCCTCAGACAGAGCAGAACAATCAAATAAATAGTGTAACATCTCCATTGTTATTCCTGATCCACAGAAAGTACATTTAAGAATATTGAATTATATACTTTTCTCTTATTACATCAGAGAGATGATTGGAATACTCTATTTACATATATATTATTTACATAATACTTGTACACCTATCCCCCGATTTACACGGTACTTGTTTTACACGTTTTCGCTTTTACACGGTTTTCCAAATAAGTTTTTTTTATGGCTCTATACTAAATTCTACTGTGATTGAACACATGCGCTGTGTACACATTTCACGAGGAATCCCGAGCTTATGTGTTGACTTGCTGCACACGCACACTGTGTCTGTATTTCTTCGTATAAAAATTTCGCGAAAATTTTCAATTTTCGATTTACACGTTTTTCTCAGGAACGTATCTACCGTGTAAATCGGGGGATAGGTGTAGTATGAAAATTTTGAGATAAGAATCTACAAATAATGATCAATAAGATACAGTTTACTTATTTCGTTAAGTTGTATTTAAATAGGAAATTATTCCTCGTCGTTTATATATATTTTTTTTCTTTCTAAAATTCTATGTCAAAATTAAAGCTATTATAATCTATTTTACTGTATGTTCTTCTGGATGTATATTTATATTTTATATCATTAGACAATAAAAAGTCATACATTTGATTGAATAATATATTTATTTGCCAATATTTCGATTGGCTGAACGCCAACCTTTATCAAGGCATTACATTGGGTAGCCTAGTGGACATGGCATCTGCCCGGTAAGCGGAACACTGTGGGTTCGATTCCCATCCTTGGACACTTTTATTTTTCTGTTTATCATTACACTTCACAATTCATCCTTTCATACCTTATCCCTAAGGTTAGAAATAATCGTTATTTCTCCTTAAAATAAATTTGGATTTTTCGTTGAAAAGAAACTCATGCGGGATAATCTTTAAATCTCGTTTTACATTTTTTTTATATACATTTTTTTCTATACAAAAATGTAATGCCTTGATAAAGGTTGGCGTTCAGCCAACCGAAATATTGGCATATAAATCATTGATTCAATCCAATATGTGTATTTTTATTATTTAATGATTTAAATATAGATTGCTCTATCTTCAGACAATGTTTTATATATGTATCAAAAGAGGAAAAACTCTCCCTCCCTTTATTAATATTGTAACAAACTATTTATTAATTTCATTATTTTTATTAACAGAGTGGTCATTTTTATGTTTAATAGTTTGCTACTCTGTAAATTTCCCTCGTGTGGCTTATCTTTTGTTTACCATTCATAGTTTGTTCTTCCCTGAAATGAATTGTTGTCTCAACCCGAAGTTGGTCTTCCCTAATTTTCCACGTGGCAATATACACAATGGGCCAGTTACTAAACAGACAAGATCCAGACCAGACTTGGGTCAACTACCTAGGAGGTTTTACCTGTTTTTCCATGACTATTTTCTTCTTAGTATCCAGTTGTCTCTCGTCTTACCGCTTCAATACACGCTACAAAACATCCCCTCACCAATACCATATGCCCACTTAACTTATCGCCAGCATAACTTTAGTCCTTACAGTAACGATTACTTATCATTTACATCGTTTATTTGGGTACTTTTATATTCGAGTCACTTTCTCGACAAGTCTATCGTATAGATAAGCTTCCTAGACGCCTGAAGTCAATTAGCCAAACCAACGTTTAAATGAAAAGAAACTTGTATCCATAAATAGTTGTATTATTCAGTTTATAATTGTTGTGGGTCGGTGTTACAAAAAGAACAGCCAAATAAGTGATTTTATAAATACACCAATACCTCGCTTTGCGTTGTTTCGATTTGCGTTTTTTTTTTTCGAAGTTGCATCGCTGCTTAATTTTTACTGATTTTCATTGTGCGTCGATAGATTTTCGAAGTTGCGTTGTTTTGGATTCGAGTCTTTAATTTTTTTAAAAATTATTCTCCTAATATATGGCAACACCTTTGTTTTTGATTGCGCCTTCACATATTTTCACTTTGCGTCGTTTCAATTTACGTCGTGTTTTTTTGGAACGTAACCCCGACGCAAAGCGAGGTATGGGTGTATATGATTATTATTAGATATAAGGATACATAAGAACCGCACACAGCAGTAGAACAAAGGCAGTCTTAAGGTTATATACAAGGAAGAAGACTGAGGTGGGCCGTTCCCATTGGTCAGTTATCTTCATGCAGTGCTTCCAAGCGGCGCCCGTGTCCACGTTTCTCTCATCAACCAACCAATAGATTTAAATCAAAATTAATATGCACTATTTAAAAATCTTAAAATAAATATAAAAAATAAATATAAAATAGTAATCTAATGGTAAATTAAAACCTATTATATAGATAAGTAAAACCTGGTAGACAATTAATAATTAAAACATTTTATTGTCATCGAGAAAGAATAAAATAAATTATCATCACATACAAATAGATAGATAGATATATTAAAATGACATATATTTTGTTAAGGTACAATTTGGTACAATTATAAAGACATAATTGTAAGGTACAATTATAAACACAAGGTAATAAGACCAAATCCAAATAAATAAATAGTGTGTGACGTTTCAGCGTTGTTACCATCTTCAGACAAAAGTACTGAATGAGAATGAAAATGGTAACAACACTGTTACCGAAACGTCACACACTATTTATTTATTTGTCTTATTACCTTGTGTTTACCTATATTTTCTTTTAAATAAAAATATTTCAATCCAATATACAAGGTGGTCAATAAGTCTCGAAAACCTTTATTTTTTTAATTAAAAAATTAAAAGGCAAACTAGAATAAAATATGTGAAAAAATAGTACAAATGTGTGATATTGTACTGGGATAATTGGCCAATTCTGGAATAACACATTTATACTATTTTTTTCAAATTGTGTCACGCAATTCTGGCCTTAACTGTCCTTTTTATGATTTTTCAAGATGCCTGAAGGACCAGTTTTTTGGTCGTTGAGGTACAGCTTGCACCACGCTGATGAGGGCCAACAGCCTGAAACGCGTCCGTGGTTAGCATTTCTTGATTAATCAAGAATGGGTAATTGGCCAATTCTGAAATAATTAGAAGTCAACGAGAATAGTTGATATTTATTCCGATAGATGGCGCAAGCCATCAGCAACTTTCAGTTTCACGATAAGGAGATGCCTTTTTCATAGAATAAAATTGTTGTAGTGTTTTATTCTAATTTTCTTTTACTAAAAAAAAATAAAAGTTTTCAGAACTTATTTGCCACCCTGTATATGCCTTTTTATTATCTAAATATGTATAGACAAATGTAAAGGCATATATGTATGACAGCGCAAGTGTCCCTAGGGGAAACATAGCGCTTTAAATTGAAATAAAATCTAAAGATATTTAAGTAATATATTCTTCTATTTTCAAAACACATATAACTAACTATGAAAAAATAGTACAAAAGTGAATTTGTACTTGGATCAGGTAGATAAATTAAGAAAAAGGCATTTTCTGATCGTGCAACTGAAAGTTGCTGATGGCTTGCACCATCTATCGGAATAAACATCAACTATTCTCGTTGATTTTTAATTATTCCAGAATTGGCCAAATACCCATTCTTGATTAATCAAGAAAATCTAACCACGTACGCGTTTCGGGCTGTTGGCCCTCATCAGCGTGGTGCAAGCTGTACCTCAACGACCAAAAAAGCTAATCTTTGGGTCATTCTGAATAACCATGAAACAGGTATTTAGGTCGGAAAAGCATAAGAACGCCAATCAATGTGAAAAATAGTACAAAAGTGAATTTGCACTTGAATCAGGTAGATAAATAAAGAAAAAAAAGACATTTTCTGATTGTGCAACTGAAAGTTACTGATGGCTTGCACCATCTAGTCATAACTAACTATATCATAAACTATTATTTTCTAATAATAATGATAATGAGAGAAAGTGAGGTAACTATTAAAAATAACAAATTGAATGAAACTTTTTTTCTTCATTTCAATTAAATCTATTGGAGAGAACGGGGGTTGTAATTAGGTGGGTGGAGCAAACGAAAACTTTCCACAGAGTTAATTTTCCGCGGTTACAAGGGGGAGCGTTCGCATCAATCCCAGATTGGAGGAGAAGCAAGTTAATTTCTGCCAACTTATTTTTCAATCTCTCTCTACCCAATTATCGGCGTGCTAAATTTGGCTGCCACAGAAAATCTTTTCGAAAGAGAAAAAGTTTTCAAAACATTTCACTTTTTTTTTTCAATTTCCTCACCCTAGTATTCTTTTGCAGAGTTTATTTTATATAACGTCCTATTGGTTGTATTATAAAAAGCCCTTAAATGTAGGTGCAATTCCATTTGACGCAGATATGTCCATAAATTTGTCTATATAACGCAGACATGTCCATATGACGCAAACATGTCCTTAAATTTGTCCATATGACGCAGACATGTCCATAAATTTGTCTATATAACGCAGACATGTCCATATGGCGCAAACATGTCCTTAAATTTGTCCATATGACGCAGACATGTCCATAAATTTGTCTATATAACGCAGACATGCCCATATGACGCAAACATGTCCTTAAATTTGTCCATATGACGCAGACATGTCCATAAATTTGTCTATATAACGCAGACATGTCCATATGACGCAAACATGTCCTTAAATTTGTCCATATGACGCAAACATGTCCTTAAATTTGTCCATATGACGCAAACATGTCCTTAAATTTGTCCATATGACGCAAACATGTCCTTAATTTTGTCCATATGACGCAAACATGTCCTTAATTTTGTCCATATGACGCAGACATGTCCATAAATTTGTCTATATGGCGCATACATGTTCATAGAATTTTCCTTATTTAACGCAGACATGTCCATGGATTTGTCCATAAGATGCAGATATGTACATAGATTTATTTTATTGGAGATGCAGATATGTACATATATTTATTCATAAGTTGCATATATGCAGATAGATTTCCTAAATATCTTCACTAAGTAGTCCCAATAGAAAGCCTAATACATAAGTCTGAAGAACGGATAAAACAATAGCTATTTGAATAGTTAAGTGGCAAAAAATTGATGCTTGTAGAGTATTAACACCGATGAACCAGGCCCTCCAAATATTTAATTAGTTATTGTTTATTAGAGTAGTAGAAACACTACGCAGGTAAATGTTAAAAAATTGTATTATTTTGCTTAAAGTGAGAGTAGAATCTACAAGGTGATGGAATGACTAAGGTTTCTATGTTTCCTCTATAAGTGTTTGTGTGTGTGACTTGCTCTCCAATAGATCCAGAATGGTCTAGAGTGGACTCACATCCCAATTACAGATCCGGGAGTTCCGTATTGTTATTCTACGTCACTACTTCTCCGTGCCGAGAATGGATAATTGGCGAGCCTGATGGTGGGGTTATGGCATAGTGATTTGATGATTCTCATATCCAAACAGAAGGACACTTTGAAGTTAGGATGGTGTTACGGGGACTGAGAGGGGAGTACTATTAGCTAAAAGATAAGATATTCTATTCGCGGGGTTTCCAGCCGTCAAAAACGACGTTGTAACCGAAGCTGCTTGCATTTTCCGTTTCACACTGAAGCGATCATTCGAGCACCCAGTTCTAGATGTCACAGAACCGTTAGAGAAGACACAAAGAGGTCCTTACAGTATCCTAGCTCTAATTACGCTCCAATTCTGATGCCTACAAGAGTTCAGTAATCTTGGAAATATCTTTATTTTACGGGGCTGCTAACCAGAATGGATGATTGTTGAGCCCCAATGGACGCATAAAGCGGAATATATACAAAGCACTATATACATTTCTGT